ATATATATATATATATATATATCCCTTTCTCCTACCCTCTGTATCCTATTATTTGCTTTTGCATTTTTGTATTTTATTGTACATTCTAATAAAATGTGTTTTTTCAAATTCCTATAGATCTGTCGAACAGATGTGTATGACCCAGATTTGAGATTCTCACAGTTGCCCCTCCTCCCCGATGGTCATGTGACCATGTTTTAGCCATTCAGCAACCAGATTGCATCTAGAATCATCTGCAACATCCCATAGTCAAATTGCTATATTTTACAAGGATTTTTGCTAAAACTGACATTTGTTCTAGTTTTTGGCAAAAATGCATCTACACTAAGCTATTGGTTTGCTTAACAGTCAACAGTGTTCACTCATCAGCTGCCCCAAAAAGATTCTAAAATCAGATCAATCACATGACTAATGTGTGTGTGTGTGTGTGTGTGTGTATATGTATATGTATATATACACACATACATATATATCATGTTTCTCCAACAATACGCCCCCCCAATAGGAAGACCTAGCATGTTTTCTAGGCATAAGGTGAAATTAAGCCCCTACCTCAAATTTAGGCCTAGTTTAAAACATGCGAAATTGGGGATGGGTGGGGGGAACTTGCCCTTAGGAGCACCCCGTGGGCAGCCATGCCTCACCACCAGCCACTCCTAATGGCCGATCATGGCGGAGCTCCCTACCCCACCAGGCGCCTTTGCTGCAGACCCGGGTATGGTGCTGGGTGCAGGCTGGGTCAGCGGGTGGGCGACAGCAGTGGTGGAGTGGATGTCGGCCTCAGTGGCGGTGGGGGACTTTGCATCGCGCCTGCCACTGTTGCTTCCTCCGCCGCTGTTGCTTTCCCTTCTGCCCATCCGCATTCCTCCACCAGCAGCATTTCAGCTGCTTCTTGGGTGGAGAAGCCATAGCTTCCATGGTTCCTGCTGGCACTGGCGCCTCTCTCACCAGCGCCATCTCCAACAACAAGAGCAGCTGTGAGACAGACCCCGCTGCCGACGAGAACCACCTGCCCTCCCACAGGGGCATCGCTTTGATTGATGGCAGCTGCGTTGACAAGGTCCTGCAAGTCGGTGAGTCTTTCAGGGTTGGGTAGGTGAAAGTGGTGGAGGGAGGTGATGCAATTGTTTCTCTCCCCCCGACGCCTCACTTTGCTTCCCGCCCCAGAGCTTCGGGTCATGGTCTCATCCCTTGTATGGTCGGGCACTCTCCTCTTGCTCCAACCACCTGAAACCCCCCTGTGGACCTTTCCCCCCCTCTTTAAGTTTTCTTTGCTCTCATTCCCTCCGTCAGTTCCTTAAGAATACAGACTGGCTGGGCAGCTTCCTCCCTACCCCTCCTGGTAGTTTTAAAAAGGGAACCATCTATCCATTTTGTCCTTCGAGCAGAGGCAAACCTTCCAATCCAAACAGAAGAGAAAGGGAATCATCCTACAGACCCTTAGCAGCAAGCTTCCCAGAGGATTCTCCCAAAGGATCCACCCCAAAGGAGGATTCACCCCCTTAAACACACTCCCCTCCTTTGGGGTGAATCCTCTGATGAATCCGCCATGATCGGCCATTAGCAGCAGCTGGTGGTGAGGGGTGGCAAGGTGGGGAGGAGAAATTAAGTCACCCCCGAAAAGACGGCCTAGCCATTTTTTGGGAGGTCAAAAGAAAATAAGGCCCGGCCTTATATACATACCTACGTCCCTGACTCCATTACCACAGTAAGAGACTATCATGTTTACTGATCAGATCATGAAATCCATAGAGGAGGTAGTGTTGCTATCTTCTATAAAAAGTCCCTACATGTAAAAACCATCCAAGTTACCCAGGGGCTTGCTATTCCTGAGACCATCGTCTATGAACTGTCCTTAAATATCACATTTCGGTTCTTACTATGTTACAGAGCCCCTGATTATGACATCGAACATGCAAACAAGCTAAATACACTACTAACATGGGCAGCATCCTGCCCACACACTTTTATTTTTCTTGGTGACTTCAATCTATATTATTTACTTGGACCCTTAATGAATCCACACATGCAACCTTCTACAATGCAGTAACAAATCTGGGACTAGAACAACTAGTAACCAACACTAGACTTAACAACTGCCTCGATCTCATCTTCTGCAATAGTTTGAATTCAATTTACGGAATACAAATTAAAGAACCCTTTTCCAACAGTGACCACAACATGATTGACTTTTGTCTCAACATACATCCACACAAAAGTCATCAAAATGACAGAACCCCCAATTATAACTTCAAATAAGGCAACTATGATCTGTCATCCCTTGATTGGCAATTTCTATTCACTGGATGCAATACTGTAGAAGACCGTTACAACATATTTTTACTCAAAAGAGTCATCAAACTATACGTACCATTAACAACTCCCAAAACCAGAAAAAACAAATTGCTACCAGATAAAAACTGAATGTACCAATTATCACATTAAACAAGAAGAAAACCTTCTACACACCAATTCCACCCATGCTTTCTACAATTTTGTAAATAACAAACTAAAAGACTTAAGGTCCATCCCACCCCTGAAAGGACCTAAAGGTAAAGACTGCAATGACGACACTATTAAAGCCAACCTCTTTAACACATTCTTTGGCTCAGTATTTGTAAACAGCAATGGATCATGCCCAGTATTTCCTAGTTGAACCACAGACAACTACAATGATCTAATACATATTGATTTTACAGAAGACAATGTTGAAAAAGCACTATGCAATCTAAAACCATCCCTATCTATTGGACCGGACGGAATATGTGCCTACTTCTTAAAAAAGCTACTTACCAAAACTATAGTCACAAGCCCCGGTCATCCCCATCTTCAAAAAGGGAGGCCCCAGCCTAGTTGAAAATTACAGACCAATCTCCTTATGTAGCGTCACCTGTAAAGTCATGGAATCAATTATTAACCAATCCATCATCCTCCACTTAGAAACAAACAACCTACTCTCTAATAAACAATTTGGTTTCAGGAAAAAGCTATCATGTAATCTGCAACTCGTACACTGCAAAAACATATGGACTACACTGTGGCTATTCTGTCTCAGTATTTTTCCATAAGACAAATCTTGCTCAGCACGTATACCTCTCAGAGCAAAGTTCACCAAGCTGACAGG